CATTTCATCTACAATCCACGGTCAAAGAGAACTCAATATCTCTGAACAGCACAGAAAAACACGGAACTGGAGTCTATGTGACAATGACTGGACTGCCTGTGGGGATCAGGGATGTTGTTGCGTCAATGAGGGTTCCTGTGCTGATCCGGGACTAAATGGGCGGGTCAGAAGGCCTCCCGTGTCAGGGCTGGGAACAATGTGATATGATATATCCTTCCAATGGCCTCCGGTTCGACCTGGGGATCCCGCCTGGTGTCACCAGAATCATAGCCAGAAGACGCTTTGCCAAGGGATGGGATGGCCCTTCAGCACTTGACCGGAAACGGTTGCGTACCCATGGTGTTCTACTCAAGAGGCCCCTTGCCCGGAAGAAAATAAGGGGCCTCATTATTGTTGAGGAGAGAGGGGTCTCATTATTGTTGAGGAGAGAGGGGTCTCATTATTGTTGAGGAGAGAGGGGTCTCATTATTGTTTGATAGGGTGGGTCAAAATTAGCTTTAAGAAACGAGCAAGGTCATGTCATGTTTGCCTGATAGCATTCATTTTTCAGAATGTATTAGTGAAAAAATTACATCAAAAGGCTTAAACACGCCGCCTGCTACCTGGAGAGCAAGGACAGGGATGGTCTGGGCTGCAGCTTCCGTAAACCGAAAAGTTTCGGCCACTGAAAGTGCCATCAGACATCGATCGCCGTGTTGATCTGTCTTCTGGATAGACAAATATTTCCCAAAAAAAACGAAAAATGGAGCTCCTAACTTCACTTTTCTGGTTCAACCACCAGATTCCAGCCCCACCTCGTGGCGCTTTAGGGGCCAATCTGTTCTTTTCATCAGTCTAAAAATTGCACACGTGAAATATGCGCTCAGACTGCCTTCTTAATGCAAGATATGTTGTCATGAAACGTTCAAGGATATTTTTTCAGAAGCGTCGTCATTTTCGTCCACCCGCTGGCTACAGGTTAGTATTAGCTGCTATGCCGACGCTGCGCAGCCTGCGGAGACCGCAACCCCTGGGGTCGAGTCTTCGAGAGCAGTCCTCCCCCACCTCTCGATTCATTGCACAGTCCACTCTTGACGATTTGTTCTCACAAATACCTGCCAACTGCCTGATACTCGGTGGTTTTAACGACCACAACCCGTCTGAGGAAGCCAGTATTTGTCTCCATGGGGATCCCGAGTGGTTAACAAACTGTCTCCATGGAAACCGTGGTTGACAAGCATTTTCTGGTATACCTCAATGATGGCACAAACACGTTTATGAGTTCCAGTTACCACGCAAATCCCAGCCATAGCCTTGTCCATTGCGTCACCCCGCGTCGCTCCCCTATTCAAGTGGACTGTCAATACTGACCTATTTTCTGACCACTTTCCCCGACATATCATTTTACGCGTGCGACTCCATTCCTGCCTCCACCTTCCACAATACATAAACATCCCGCCCACCACAATTATAAAAATGGTGGTGACTGGGTAGCTTTTAATGTCTGTGTCATTCAGCATGTTCCATACGATTTAAGAACAACCGTACCGGATTTCCTCAATGCCGTCCACACAGCTGCGACTGAAACGCTTCAGGAGCAGTCCAGACCCGGTCGCACTGGAAATGGTTCATGGTGAAGCTGGCGCTGTTAACAGGCAAAGACACTACGGCGCAGCGCGCTTAGAGATTCTCATAAATGCGTTTGCGCCCATTATGCAGAACTATACACAAAAGCGCGCAGAGCGTGTTCTGACACCTTGCGTCGCGACAAGCAATCGGCGTGGCGGGATTTTGCTTCGACGTGCAATCGCTTTTCGCCGTTAAGTAAAGTTTGGGGGCATGTCCGCTCGTTTGCCTCTTGCCTCAATTATGTGTGCGCTTTCCCGCAGCTTGCCAGAGAAAACGACGTTGTAACTGATCCACATGAGGTCGCCAACACATTTGCACACCACTTGACCTCTGTGTCCTCCCCAAGCATTTACTCACCTAGTGTTAACCGATATTTAACTGACAGAGCTTCCACTCTCACCTCTGACAATGCCTATAATGTTCATTTTACCACGCGTAAACTCGAACTGTCCCTGACCACATGCGGTGACAAAACTTCGGTTCGCTCAGATGGGCTGCCTTACTCGTTTTTCACCAATCTATCTGCTATAAACTTGTCAACACTTGCAACCGTGCAACCGCTACCAGCAATCTCTGGATCAATCACACTTTCCCAGACGCATGGCTCCAAGGCACGGTCATTCCAATCCTGAAGCCCGACAGAGATAAGTTGTCCTCAAACTCATATCGCCCATTTCGTCAATGTTGCTCACAAAAACCTCCTTACATAAATTTCACCATTCCAATCCTGAAGCCCGACAGAGATAGGTTGTCCTCGAAGTCATATCGTCCATTTCGTCAATGTTGCTCACAAAAACCTTCCTCACATAAATTGCATCACTAATGCATTCTGACTGAATGGTGAACATTTCCAGACAAGCATGGCCTGGCCATGTTAATACACATTGTTGGCCACTTGATCTGCAATCAAATTTTCATCTTCAAATTTTGAACAAACGTACCGATCTAATTTACCTTCGTGATGCCACTAATGTTTCTAGAACCCAGATAAAAAAATTCTTACAAAGTTTCTGAACGTCATTGGCTTAGAAAGCCGTCTACGTTGATTGATGGGCAATGCAATGACCGCTAGTCAATTCATACCTAAGGTATGCAACTTCTCGGAGGTTATTTTTCTGTTGTGGTGTGGCGTGAGGGAAGATAGTTCGGAAAAATATTCTGTTGCAGGTGTTCAACAAATGTTTCGCACGCCAATTAGATGTAATGCTGATTAGGCCATAAATCAGCCATGCGACCAGTTCAGTCATGCGGGAGACAATCAGGCCAGGGCAGTGGCCGCCGACGGCGGACGGGAGCAGGGCCCAGATAAGAAACATATGACAGACGGGCCTTCATTATGTGACGTGGTCTTCAAAACAGAATCTCCAGTTTTACGGTTTCGGTCACATTGTTTTTGTCAACTTCAAGCATCCGAATTTGTTTCCGCCTTAAATACTGCGACAAGTCTTACTTTTGAAAAGAAGCCAGCGAAATCAAGGTGCATGACAAATCTGTCGCTGTGTAACCCATCGGTTCACCTTCGAAATTCTCAACAGCCTATGTCCGGACCGTATTTTGATATCTACCCTGTGGAGGCAGATGCCTCCTTAATGACCCAAAATGCTTACCCGCTCGTGGAATTTCGCCTCCCCAGAAAAAAAAACGATGTTAAAATGGACGAATAATCTTGGGAAACAAGATAGCCTTAAATGCCAAATGACACGGATGAGTCGAATAGGCAAGATTGTACACCAGTAAGGAACAGCTGATGTACTTTTAGCATAACAGCCATGATATTTAAACAAAGAGCGATAATAAACCCTATCCTTAGCCCCGCTCCCGGTCACTGGGCTCGCCTTCCAGAAAAGGTGCACGAATGACACCTCCAGCTTTACCCCTCCGCCTCACCGCCCCCCCCCCCCCCCCCCTCTGTTTGAAACGGTCCTACTGGAAGCCCCTGCATTGCTGCATTGTGGGTAGCGATACTATGATGTCATCACGGAACAAAGTCATGTGGCACCAATGCTATGGCCGCGTGAAAAAGCTGTTTTTGCTGGGCGGTTTAAGCATAAATATTGCCATAAACCAAATTTGTTCGACCTAGCACATTCAATGAAGCATTTTCAGCTGGGAAATGATGTTGGTTTGCACTAGAGCTGCAAGATTATTGCTGAGGTGCGCTGCCAGTTTGCCACCGGCAGGGAGATAGGGATAACCCATTCACAAGTGATTTATCCCGGATAGGTCTAGCCGGAAGTGCTTAGAAACAGTCTGTGTGAAAGATCACAATATACAACAGCAACCGCATAGAGTGGGGATGAGAAACGGCGGCCCAGACGGGCTTGCAGCACGCTGGAACGCGCATTGAGAAATTGAATGCACATCCTGTAGTCTTAGAAGGGGCTTTGCCAGGGTGGATGCAGGATTGGCTTGGACTAATGGGGGCGGTGAGGTGCGAACCTCGAGTGAGGTGCGTGAATGCAGAGCGTGCCATTTCAGTTCAAGATAGCGGGTTTTCCTGTAAAACGGGATGATTTCTGGTAAGTTCTGCAATTTGCCATATCTCAGTTGGGCAAAAGGCTTGAGTATATATCAGGGTAGTCGAGGTATTATGCCTTGCGTACCTTTTTCACCTAATCCATCCGGCATCAAGGATTTGCAAGCTAACCAACGACTAGTAAGGCCATGATAGTCACAGCAAAATTTTTGGCACCTGCCCTCCTCACATTAACCTTTTTCACATTTCACTCCATTTAGGTACTGCAGTACGACCATAAATATACAATTATTGCCCAGTTATAAATGCAATGTAAACATTACACAAAATGTTTATTCATTTACAAATAACCATAGCATTCACAAAGAAGCATTACATATAAATGGTCAGGCACGTTGACTACGGCGAACATGGCGTGGGTACCGAACCTGGGAGATGTGGCTTAGTAGGATTTATTTTTGGAAGCAGATTGAAGTTCTAATTTGTCCTTAGAGAGTTTTAAATGTATAATGTACAATACATATTAACATAAAACTTAAATAAGGATTTATAACATGATCACCTACCCAGTTTATTGGTGAAATCTCCGTTCGTAATCATGTTACTAGTATCTACCATCCGTTACGTAGTATCAGCCAAAAACCATACTACGGGCTACTTAAGTTTGGTCTCATGGTGACGTAATGTCTGCGTACCCTCCTCAAATAGCCTTGCCTACGCCTATGCTTGTTGACTGTGTTTCCCGTATTGCCTAGCCTATCGAAGCAGAGTTGCTTATGCGTGGTTTTCCCGTGCTTTCCCTCTCTAAAGTGCCACCGGACTTGTTTGGGATGAGCCGGTTTTTGCGCAGAATTAGTTAAGGAGCCCCGCTTTCCTCTCGTGGCGAATAACGTAAGCTGAAGCCACCAAAACAACCGCATAAGCACAAACCTTGCGAATCATTAGGCTGTGTTGAGAGGCTGTACCATTATCCGGCGTTAGCTTGGTTTGTCCTCAGCGGTTGAAGGTTGCTGCTCTTGCAGATACCTTAATAGGCTTGGATTGAAATGTTGGTTTGTGGGGAACGATGTCACCTGATGCTAAGCCAAAAGTGTTTGGATGTGTGTTGGCAGAAAGGTCTGCTCTTGATAAGCATCATTATGGCTAGAACAGTGGTGGGAAGTAGTGCTCACTGTGATTATTTTTATGACTTACCTGTGGTGTAAGTGTATATAGCATGTAGATATATATATATATGTATATATATATATATATATATATATATATATAGGTATATATATATACCTATATATATACCTATATATAGATGTAGGTATATATGTATATACATGCCTAAAACTTACCTGTTGTGTATAAGTATCTTATAAGTATCTATATCATTGCAACATCATCATCCCCTCTCCATCAACACTGCATTCAAATGGCTGCATTTTTTGCCATTAGGCTTATAAGAGTCTGACTTGCTTCTTTTATTTGGTTGCAATAGTAAAATGGTCAGTGTGGATAGATTTTGATTGTTTTGCCCTAAAGCAAATTTGGTATAATTTTGTCAATGTCTTTTTCAGTGCTGTGTGCTGTGAGGTAACATAACAGTGCTGTAGATGCAACCAACTGTTAGTTTTCACTATTGAAGGGAATGCCCCATAGTTGGGGATATTGAAGTAAGCATTAGATATGAAATAGCATGCTCATATGATTGACATGCTTTCAAGTGGAAAAGGCTGTTTTAGAGAGTGCAATTTCTCTGTTATGTGAATAAGTTCCTTGATGCATTCTGGCCTGTATCACTATGTGGCCAATGGGATGATAGGATTTGATATTGTTTCTTGGTTGCCTGGATGATTTTAAACAATTCTTTAGGATAGTCTGCACATTTTTGTGGGTGTGTAGCACATAAATTGAAGGCTTTAGAAGGGCAGGGCTGCAAGGTGCACTGATTAATCTTTTGGATGGCTTTTGGTTCAAAACCCATAAAAATGGGGAATAATCCTTTTAAAGTAGCTGTACCTGTTTTGCAGAGAGCGATCTGACTGGCTGTAACCATGTCACATGTCCCTGCTGATCAGCCTGAAGAAGATGCTGCAGAGCTCCAGTTTCCAAAAGGTAAACTATCAGTTAGCAGTAAGCAAACTTTGGTTTGTTTTTGTGATGTGATATCAAACCTGCTTTGTTAGGCTCCTAACAATGTTAGAGAATTGTGTGAAGGGTATTATTACCTGTCCACAGATTTTCACATTGGGGTAACCCAAAGTGCTTTGAACAGTAATTGCATATGCTTTCCTGAAATTTTTATTTATAATGCATGTACATGTCATGTCATGCAATGCTTATTTGAATCCTGAGCATAATGCATGTAAGGTATAAAATTATCATGTCTGATAGGCACTTCCCATGTTCTCAAATGCTTCTTCTGTATTGTGATCAGCTGGTATGTCTGTGTGCATCACTCTCCAAATCTACAAACAAATTTAACTCATGAATCATCAATATTGAAGTGGTTTAAAATCACCCATTGCACAATCATTCAATTTTTAACTTAAAACATCAGTTCTAATCCTTGGCTCATGTGGTCTTGTGTTCAAAACCAGAGCTGATTACTGATGCTCTGAACCTTCTACCCAAGTTTTCACTCAGTGTTTTACTGATAGTGGACTGTGGGAGTTCTGATAAAGTGACAACTGCCCTGTATCAGGCTGAGCCTCAGGGACATTCAACAGCTGGCTTTGCCATGTCAGTCAGTTGATGCAGTGTACCAGCTCTGGAGCTTTGTCCGGCACTGCTGCATTGTGAGTCCAGCATGTTTTCCTGGGCCGTGGAGGTAACTGTTCTGAAGATGTTTGTACTAATTGTTGTAGGCATAAAGACAGCCTCTTTGTTTTCAAGTGTAAGGCTATTTTGTTGTGTGATAGTCTCATGTGCCAGTTCTGATCACATCAAGGATGCTGTTCATTTCAGAGTTTGATAGTGCAGAGACTCTGATGATTTCGGAGGTGCACATGCTGCTTGAGCATCGAAAGGCACAAAACGAGAATGCTGAAGAAGAACAAGAGCTATCAGAAGTTTTCATGAAGACCTTAGCATATGCCGAACGCTTTCGCGAAGTTCAAGAACAGGGAAACGATCTGCGTCCGTCCGAAAGTGAGACTGGAACTGTGATGGTGTATGCAATAAATAAGGTGCCCCATGATGCAAATGTAAGTTGAGGACATATGCTCATTGTCTTCCAACAGCAATTGTTTTTGCAGGTCGTCCTCTCCAATGCATTGCCTTGCATGTAGCGCCAACTACCCACTGCTACAGTTTGATGCATGTGCACCAACTGTCTGCTGATGCACAGGGTTTGTGATGCTTTGCAGTCTGCTAGCTCAGAAGAAGTTGCACAAGTACGAGTTGGCGGCACTGGCCAGCTTATGCCCTGACAACCCGGAGGAAGCCAAAACTCTCATACGCAGGTAGTTTGGTTGTGCAGGGCATCTTGCGCCTATGCTATGGCTTTGCGAGAGGCTGGCTATTATCACGTGACAAAGTTGTGCCGTGGCATGCCAGTCGTGTGTCAAGACACCGTGTGCTGAGGTGCATCTCCTACTGTTGCTTCGTGATGTACGCCTAACTTACGCTGACGTGGCTTACTGTTTATCTTACTAGAAAATATTGGAAGTTAGCGATATTTCCTGAGATGGAGGGGGATGGGGAATCAGACGATAAGATTTCGCTGAAATAACCGATTCATTCCAAGATATGACACGCGTGAGTTCCTCGATGCCAAACCGCGCATCACCGCACACCCGAATAGGTCGCGGGAGGATTTATGAAAAAAAACGCCGCCTGTTGGTGGCGTCCCAATCTGTCGCTGGACCCCGCTAGGGTCGCAGTTGAAGCCCGTGTCGCCCCAGCGCTGGTGACCCATATCTGACCATGCCTTGCAGCCTGGAGGGCCGCTATGAGGAGGAGGAGCTGCGTTCCATCCTTGACGACATCCAGACCAAGCGCAGCTTCCAGTACTAGCCACCGCACCATCGCCAACAGGTGTCATTCCACATCATCGCGCTGCCGCAGTGGCACGGCCGCCGGTGCTACTGTGGCGCGGGGCGAGCAGCGCGGGCCTGGACCGTGGACCTCCTCCCGCCCACCCGCCGGCGGGCTGGCTCTGCTCGCCGGCGACGGAGCCGACCGCAGAGCAGGGTCCTGCGCCGCGCAGCGGCCGGTGCGTTGCCGCCGCCCAGCTCGCGGCGAGACGGCGTCCGCCGGTCACCGCCGCTCCGTTCCGACCGTCCGACGCGCCAGGCGCTGGCCACCCCATAGGGCGTCGTCCTCCGGTGGAGAGAGGAGGTGGAGCGCGGCACGAGACTGAGGGTGACTACGCCAGGAGAGGTGCAGCGCGGAGCAGCGAGCACGCGGCGGCCTCCTCAGCCCACGAAATTCACACATGATCATCCGAGGTGTACGTGACAGCAAATACAGCATTTGTGTTGCCAACAAGGTTTGCCCGCGAGTTTCCTCGATGATGTGGGTAAGAGAGGCGCCGTGCCCATAGCAAGGAGACAAGCAAAGCGGGGGAATCACTTGTTAGTTGAACCCATCGACCCGCGAGGGTCCTTCCATGCACGCCCCATCGCCGTGCTATTCGCGCTTAACCGTCGAACGCGGACGCGCCCATGCATCAGACGTGACGTTCGCGCCGCGCCGCGGGCGGTACAGCTCCAGCGCCCTGTCTCAATGACAGGCCCTGTGGATCACACCATCCAGCGCAGGAGCTTCTTCTCCATTGCTCAACAGTCACGCTGCGTGCAACCTCTAGAAACGTCCCCTGTTTGGCTCCATTGCATGTATGATCGGACTGATCATACATGCCGTATTGGATAAATGCAGATAAGCGAAAACGTAATCAATGCAGATGTCGGATAAACATACGTAACGTAGACGCTCTTGGATGCCACCAAGCTGTTTTGGGACTGGTAGGGCAAGTTCCCGTCCATCCTTCAACAGCCCTCGAACGCAAGGCGCCACGGCACCAATCTCAGACGTGTATTAAGGTCCTCCGTGTTGGCTATGCATTGCGATCATAAAACAGAGCTGAGCAATGATAATCCCAGTTAAAAAGGACCGCGACCAGTCCAGACCCGCACCATACACGACCCTCTGTATCACGCGGCCCTCCAGCCCGCGGCATGGCGCAGCACGACGCGGCGGTGAGCGGCTGTGCGTCCGTCCCGCCCAGCTCGCCAGGCCAAGAGACCTCTTAACCAGAGAATACCAGCTAAAAACCACCCTTGGTCCGTTAAAATCATAACATTTCCCCTCAGCCTGCCTTGCATTGCACCAGATCCAGTTAAAGAAGAGTTCAGCCGAGCCAGGAAGATGCGAATCCGCAACCTTGAACAGCAGCGGCGCCAGGGACAACAAACGGGTAGGTGAACCGACGAGGGACGACGGACAACGCGGTGGCGGATGCGCGTGACACACAAGTAGGCGCACAAAGCTCGGCCGCACAACAACTAGCCGTGCCAGCGCCAGCGCCAGCGTTAGCGCAGGAGCCTGGATTCGCTGGCCCACGTGGCCACAGACACCGTCTGCGGCGCGCCGACCCACATAGACACGAACAGCTAGCACGCCGGGTATGCTCTCACAATCGGCACGGCCGCTGGCGACCCATTTGGACGCGCGCGCGCGCGCGCGTGCGGAATACTACAACAGCCTCTGGAACAGCCGGGCCCGTCGCCGGCGACGGACCCGTCGGGCGACGCCGGCCGAGTCCGCGGCGGCGGCGGCGCGTCGCGCCACACATGACTAGAAAAGGCGGCCGTTCACGCCGACCGGCCGGCCGGTCGTTACACCAGGTCGATGACGTCCCCCGGCTTGTGGTGCAGCGGCAGCAGCGGCTGGCGGCCGCGGCTGCTTCTCTCCAGGTACTTCTTCACCTCGGAGACGACGAACACGGTGGATGTGATCCCCAACAGGTACACGATGTCTGGCGGGGAGGCGCACGGTCAGGGGAGCGGTACGAGGCGAGGGGCTTGACACGGAATGCATCCCGGAGGTGATTGGAGGCAGCTCACTGGGAGGGGGCACGGGCCTGAGTGGCTGACGCGGCAAACAGGCCACCGCCCACAGGATGAGCCTTCATTGCCCTCCTCAGCCGGCGGCGACCATCTGCTAATGAAAGCAGTGACCGTTTTGCGCTTCCCTTTCAAGAGCAGCCAATAAAACCGGGCATTTACATTCCCCGACCGAAGTGGAAGCCTCCAGAGCACGGACAGGATCGGCAGGCCGCACCCGGGCCGGGACCTGCCTGCTGCCGTGCTCAGTCCCCTCCGGCGCCGTCCACCCGCTGGCCCACTCACCGGACAGGTACAGCGCCTCCGTCTGGAATACGCTCTGCAGCGGCGGGAAGTAGATGACCAGCAGCTGGCCCACCAGCGAGCCTCCCACCGCCAGCAGGAAGAACTTGTTGGTGAAGAAGCCGATGGTGAACACAGATTTGGTCTGAGGACAGGACGAGCGGCGTGAGGCACGGCACACGCCGACACAAGAAAGCTGGCTGAGTCAAACAGCGCAACACACCGGTGTAGAATGATAGGAAAATCTTCCATTCAATCTCACAACCGGCTAAGTCAAATAGCACGATTCCATCCGCGCGCGTGGAAAAATTATTCACAATCGCTCTCCGTCTGGCCGGACTCATTGCCAAGCAAGCATAAATTTCGTTATGGGCAATACCGCAGTGGCGAGAAGAAAGGAGCAGACACCACACCTCCCATGTGTGCTTAAACGTCTGCGCCAAATGCAGACTTCGAAGCGGAAGCCACTGGATCGTCACCCGTCCGCGTCCGCGTCCGAGGCACTGCGCGCCGCCCGCGGCTCCCCGACGCCCAGACCCAGACCCAGACGCCCACCTGCGACCGGCAGCTGAGTGCGTTGAACATGTCGAACAAGACGAAGCAGGTGAAGGTCATGGTGGTGTCGCGCGGCGTGATGATGTTGTCGCTCATCTGTGGGGCGGCGCTCGCGTCAGGCCGGTGTCCACGAGGCTCGCGCCGCGGCGCCGGCCACCCCGCCGACGGCGCGGCAGCCTTAGGCCGTGGCCAGAGCATGGAGACGCGCACACAGCGGGGCACGCGCCCAGGGCCCAGCAAGACTTCGGTGGCGAGTACTGGGAGTCTGTCAACACGCAAGGCGTCCTCGTCGACACCGGGGCGAGCAGCGCGACAAGCCAGAGCGCCACACAGCCTGACGTGAGCACCAGAGCGGCCGCCAGGCGACCGACGCCGGACGGTGCCGCCTCGCTGCCTGAACAGCCCGCGCCTCCGACGCCGGCTGGTGGGACGCGCTTCCGCCGGCGGGTTGGCGCCGCCTCACCTCGCTCCGGAACACCCAGAGCGTGCCGCAGATGATGATGGAGGCCGACAGCAGCACGTTCAGCAGCAGCGAGCGGGTGATCATCGACTGCTTGACGTTTCGCGGCGGCTGCTTCAACACGTCCCGGTCCACCGGCTCCACACCCAGGCTGCGCGCGAGGGCGGACACAAGGCGTCAACAGGTCACACCGGAGGCCACGGAGCATTAACAGAGCGGTCACCAGACATCAGCCGGGTGTGGCACGAGCAGCCCCTCGAGGTGTCGCAGGAGCACTCCGGGACCAGTAATACACAGGGCTACATGGTGGCGACCGTAGGTACAACGGACAAACATCACTGGGCTTGCGGGCCACCAGAACTGGCGGGACAATGCCAATGCGGTGTATGAAGGTCGCACTTTCACTGGGTAGCACTTGCCACCTGACAGCAAATTTCGCCAACATCATCGGCCCATGTCTGAAGTTTGTTGTCAAAAGCGCTAACGTTTCCCGCCTCCAATCATTGACGAGAACGACATCAACCCCAATTTTCACTACGAGTGCCTCCATGTGTCAAGGCAGCGACGCCGCCGGAGTTGACGCGGCACGCTGCCTGCCCGCCTGCACGCCGGCGGACAGGCGCGTCCGGGCTGGTGCGCACCTCTGTGCTGGCGGGCCGTCCATGATGATGTTGATCCAGAGAATCTGCATGGCGTTCAGCGGGTTCGGGATGCCGAGCAGCGTGGAGAGGGCGATCAGTGAGAGGGCGGCGATGCTGGTCGACAGCTGGAACTTGACGAAGTTGCCGATGTTGTAGAAGATGCCTTTGCCCTCTTCTATAGCGCTCCTGGGCGGTGTATCAGACAATACGTGAAGACATGGCAGGGCATGACGGAACCATACAGCAGAAGACGGCGGGGCGATTTCCCCACAACAAAAATGACAACCATCCTCCATGGTAATTTATTAACGAAAGCGATTATTCAAACTGGCGATAAAGCTCGAGAATGTCTATGTTAGCAACCAACAATTCGTGCGTAAAAAGCCCACCCCGCATTCGGCCACGAGTAAGACGAGTAGGAGGTGGGGCGGACCGCTCTCTAGTGATTCCCGCCGAGTCCCCCGTCACAGGCCGCGCGCTCGTCTCACATAATGGTGGTGAAGTCGTCGTCCACCAGAATCATGTCGGCCGCCTCCTTGCTGACGTCCGTGCCGACGCGACCCATGGCGACGCCGATGTCGGCCTTCTTCAGTGCCACGCCGTCGTTCACGCCGTCGCCGGTCATGGCCACGATGTAGCCCTTGCTCTGCAGCGCCTGCCGTGGGCGGAGAGACGGGTTACGGTCGGTTACTAGCTGGCATTCTGCTAACGCCCTGTTGACGCCATCGCCCGTCAAGTCCTACGCCTCGATCTGGACCTTTTCCACTGCGCTCCATGCGCGTCTGTATCCACAATTAAACGAGATGGTTAGAAGCGAGGTCGGTGTCATTTACCCCACATTCACCCGTATGTCATTACCTTTTGTCTCCTCCCCCCCCCCCCCCCCCCATTTATTCAGGCCGTCAGTGATCGGTCGGGGAGGCCGTCGACGTACGGATGCGGGCATGTGTGCGGACGTGCGGTGCGGCCTCTACTCCCTAGTCCAGCAGATGGGGCTGCACGTGATGGACTGATCCAACCCCAGCACGACCACACAGACTTGAGACCTGACCGACTTGAGCTGACCACTCAAACTGAGCTCCAAACCGCGCCCCCACGCGCACATCTGCAGCCGCCGACGACGGCGCCCTTCAGTCGCTGCGGGCGGCGGGCACAGTCGCCGGCTGACGGACCCCAGCCGGCTGTTGAGGTCAGCCAGCTGAAACACCAGCGGCTCGAGGCCTTTCTTGCTCACGTCAAGGCCAACGGGCTTGCGACAGCCGCGCTTGACGTGAGGCCTACGCTTTGAAATCCGTCGCTTGCGTCGATATCACGCAATGAACGTTTATCTGGGATAAATATTCGAATTTAGACGGAATACCGCTACCAAACATCCAACGAACAATTTAAAATGTAGCAAGGTGGCACGTTGCAGCAACCCTTTCACGGTCTCGCCCACCTTGATAATCTTGAGCTTGTGTTTGGGCGCCATGCGGTAGAAGATGGTGATATTGTCGATCATCTCCTCTAGCAGATGGTCATTCCAGCGGTCAATCTCGTCGCCACTGATCACCGAGTTGGAGGTCACCGGCAGACCCAGCTGGACTCCTGAAGGCAGGGGATGGGTCAGTCTGGCGGGAGGGCCTCCGCACGACCGCCCGCGGGAGCGTGCCGCGGCCACGCGTGGCGCCACGCTGACCTCGAGTAGACTCCTCCGCGAGAGCATTAAACACAGCCCGTAACGCCTCGTCAGCTACGTCATCGCCAGACCAACAACACCGGCGGCGTACCGGCCCAGAACGCACGCGCCGGCGGCACGTCTGACGTTCAAACCAGCACCAGCTGGCGGGCGAGCGCACGCGATGCAGCCCCCGCTCCCCCTCTCATCCCCCCCGCCCCTTCCCCCTCCCCCTCGACGGCGTCGCGGCCCCACCGTCAGCGACGGCGCGCGGCCCCCGGCCACGCCCTACCGATGGCGCAGGCCGTCTCGCGGGCGTCTCCGGTGAGCATCTTGACGCGCGCACCGGACGACTGCAGCTGCAGGATCTGGTCGCGCACGCCGGGCCGCGGCGGGTCCATGATGCCCACCTGGCGGCAGTGGCGCGCCGTCAGCGGCCAACGGAGCCGCCGACACGGGCCGACACGGGGCGGAACTGCCACCGGCCGGAGGTGGACACGACCATCCGCGCCAAACAACGGCAGCTGAATTCAGTAGCTTTGGACCGCTTCGTATGCGGGTGCGTTCACAAGCGTAAAACACCAGGGGTTTTAGACTACGAGGACCAGTCGGCGAACAACTTTAGGCGACAGCAAATCATTGCTTTACGTCACAACGCGCAGTAGTTGTTGTGCCAATCTGACACGGTGGGATAGTCCCACAATAGTGAGATAGAAGTCGCGATACGGTGGTATAATGCAGTGTAACACAACATAACGGTACCCTGCACAAATCTCCCGCCACGACGCGACACAGCGGTGCGACACATAGCTATGATGCAGCAGCGTGGTACCGACACGGATCGCCGCGACAGGGGGCGGCCCCGGCGGCCGGCCGCGCCGCTGCCGCCCGTCGCCGGCGTGGCCTCACCATGCCGACCAGCTCCAGCTGATCCTGGTGGCGGCCGCGCGCCAGCGACAGCACGCGCAGGCCGCGCCGGCCCATGTCGTATGCCTCGGTCTTGACCTGCTCCAGCCGCTCGGGCGTCAGCGGCTCCGGCCGGCCGTGCACCGAGAAGGCCGTGCAGCGCGGCAGCAGCATCTCCAGCGCGCCCTTGCAGTACCACATCTCAGTGGCCTCTCCCGGCTTGGTGGCCTTCACCTGCATCACCTTGGTCTCCGAACGGAACGGGACCTCGGCCAGCCGCTGGGACGTTTGTCGCAGGTCGTGCAGCCCGAACTGGCCGCGCGGGAAGGGCAGGTCAGCTGGGGCACGGCTCAGCGACGGCGGCGAAAAGCGCCGCTCGACCGGACGCCGGGTCGACAGGGACGGGCACCAGTCGGCTAGTGGGCCACCGGGGTGCAGGCCACACGACAGGTCACGGGTGCAGGTCAGCGTACACGGCAACCGGCGGCACGGGCCAAAGGTCAACCGCCAGATCCCACGCGCAGGTCCACCACGCGGCAGACAAGCTCATTAGTGCAGCTCACACCAATATGAGTCTCCCATTGAGTGTCATGAGCGATAGTGTGGTTGCGTCGTTCAGTCGCATGAAGTCAATTAGGACAAAACTTGCAATAAAATGTAGGGACTTGACGTCTAGAGGCATCAAATATGCTTAGTAAGGACTAAATATCTAGCAAAGTCCTTTGAACCTATTGATGAAGCGAGCACAAAGTGAACTATGTAGTGCGAATCCCACCGGCAACATCGGCCTTTCGCGCCGCTGCCATCTGTAACCACGGGCCAGTGAGGCGCCGCGGACCGACAGGCACTATTATCACCCGGCGCTGGGTAAGGAGCAGAGCGGGCCGGCGAGACAGGCACCATCACTCGGCGCTGGGTACAAAGCAGAGCGGGCCGGCGAGGCAGGCACCATCACTCGGCGCTGGGTACAGAGCAGGGCGGACCGGCGAGGCAGGCACCATCACTCGGCGCTGGGTACAGGGCAGAGCGGGCCGGCGCGACAGACACCATCACTCGGCGCTGGGTACAGAGCAGAGCGGGCCGGTGAGACAGGCACCATCACTCGGCGCTGGGTACAGAGCAGGGCGGGCCGGCGAGACAGGCACCATCACTCGGCGCTGGGTACAGAGCAGAGCGAGCCGGCGAAACAGGCACCATCACTCGGCGCTGGGTACAGGGCAGAGCGGGCCGGCGAGACAGGCACCATCACTCGGCGCTGGGTACAGAGCAGAGCGGGCCGGTGAGACAGGCACCATCACTCGGCGCTGGGTACAGAGCAGAGCGGGCCGGTGAGACAGGCACCATCACTCGGCGCTGGGTACAGAGCAGAGCGGGCCGGTGAGACAGGCACCATTACTCGGCGCTGGGTGCAGGGCAGAGCGGGCCGGCGAGACAGGCACCATCACTCGGCGCTGGGTACAGGGCAGGGCGGGCCGGCGAGACAGGCACCATCACTCGGCGCTGGGTACAGAGCAGAGCGGGCCGGTGAGACAGACACCATCACTCGACGCTGGGTACAAAGCAGAGCGAGCCGGCGAGACAGGCACCATCACTCGGCGCTGGGTACAGAGCAGGGCGGGCCGGCGAGACAGGCACCATCACTCGGCGCTAGGTACAGAGCAGAGCGGGCGGGCGAGACAGGCACTATCACTAGCAGGGCGGGCCGGCGCGGGAGACACACCTTTCTGGCGGCCACCAGCAGTGCGCCCTCGGTTGGCGTACCCTTCAAAGTGTCGCCAGTCAAGTCAGCGTTGTTGCAAAGCAGTGCCACCTGTCGAGAGCGCAGCGAAACGTCAAAACGGATCAGGCTGCCCGGCAACGCCGCTTACACCGCGCAAAGTCCGTAGGACAACGCCTAAGCCATTGGTTGTCTGGCGCATAGCTTTAACCAAGTCTGCTGTTTGCAGGACTTTGAACATCGTGTACGACGAAAGCTATCGCTTGTCCCATATCCCAAACACGAGTGCATCGGTTGATGAGTGCCATCTTCAAAGCCCTTAAACCTACCCACGCTCTTCAACATACCCCCAACTTTAACCAGCGGGCAATATCGGCACATGTGCCCAGAGCGTAACACACTTCTGGCACATATGCTCATGGTCTTCTGTTGAGCATCGGGTGTAAAAACAACCGTCCAATCGACCACAGAATGGGAACAGCCCACAAAGCATCTCGGGGCACTCCGCACACAGTACCATTCAAAACACTCAGGCAAGCTCAGGGAAACCTACAGACACCAAAACAAGTATTTGGCGCGGTGCCAGCAATGACTAAGCTGCCCATTTCCCCACCTAACGGTTGATGCGATGCAGCCGGCGGCCACCGCAGCCCTGCGGTCGGGTCGACCAGCCCTGTCCCCGCCCCCATCCGTCCCCGTCCCCGTCCCCGTCCCCGTCCCCGTCCTCGTCCTCGTCCCCGTCCTCGTCCCCGTCCCCGTCCCCGTCCCCGTCCCCGTCCTCCTTCGCACGTCACCGGCGGCGCGCCCGGCGCCGCCCGCCGCTCCGGCTGACCTCCAGCAGGCCGTACAGCGAGTACTTGCACTGCTCCATGTTTTCCGTGACGGGCCGTATCTCGCCGCGCGCGCTGTAGCCCACGCCCGTCACGTCACACTGGTAGCCCTCGGCCGTGACGATCTGCGTCACCGTCATCTCGTTGGTGGTCAGCGTGCCCGTCTTGTCGCAGCACACCACGTTGACGCAGCCTGCGGGCCGACAGCCGGGTCACACGGCGGGCGGCGACGCTGGCAGCAGCAGCGGTGCAACGGTGACGTCCCGCGTGCCGACCGGGATGGCACAGGGGTCAGCGGTGACGTCATATCATGCGGCGTTATGTGGGCCGACTGCGACGTCGCGTGGATCAACTGTGACATCGCGTGGACGACCGGTGGCACGACCAGGAGCATCGCCACACAATGCCCCGTCTGCTCCGGGAGGGAGCAGTTTGCACGAGACACTGAGCGATGACGCCCCGCCCCTGCAGTGGAGTCTGGGCGACGCCTGTCCACTCGTCTGGGCTTTATATTGCGCGGCAGCGTACGGCTGATGGCTACCCATACCCCCCCCCCCCCCCCGGGCCGAGCCAGCGTGAGGTGGACGATGCGGCTTCAACACTTGCGCCGCCTATCGAGCCGTAAAATCGGCCGCGCGCCGGACGCCCGCCGCCAGCTTTTTCACCCTGTCGCTGCGCAGCGCCAATGAGCAGAAGTATACTAACGCCGCCGCAAAGGTGACACGTTTGTAACCATGCAATAAACGCGCGCACGCGCCTTCAGCCGTTACGCACCAATTTCTGTTGATTGATACACATCGTTCACGTCGTTGTGTTCAGCTGCCAAAATGCACATTACGAGCACGGTGGACGCTGCAATGCACAGAAGTCAGTCCGCGTCTGGTTTTTCAGGCCGGGCGCACCGGTGCGGCAGTAAGTGTCTCGCTTCATCCGCTCCCACTTCAGCCATAAATAGCACCAACACGGGCAAGAGTTTACCCAACACAAATAGCCAAGATATGACACTGATAACACCATAATGATCATACTGGCACCGTATTCCAGTTCTTCGGGGCACCCGACATTCAGCCACTGGGGTGTCAGATCATGTGCGTTCACGTCACAGAAAGGCGCTCGATGATTTGGCTCGTCAAAGCCGGCCACTTGGCAGTTGGTCGTGGCATGACATGACTGGCACGGGGCGAACGTACTAAAACATTACCTTGCACGCTGAAACTTCTCAGCCCAGACTGCTACTTCGAACGACATTGTTCAGCTGGGACGGTAAGCCAGACCTCGCAGCATGCTGTGTTTTGCGAGACCTCTGACCCAAACCCTCCCTGCAAGACATTCGATTTCATTTCCACAAGATCACGCGACTGATCGGCCCAGGCAGCCGTGTGTCACCAGCCACCATCTTCCACTGTGGCTCACGCCTGGTCTTACCCCGCCGGCTCCTGACACGGCAGTTCGGACCCCGGACTCCCGGCCGTGCCCGCAGGACGCGGCCAACCAAGCCACCGTCCCCCCCCCCCCCCCCCGCCGCCGCCGCCCCACTAACCCAGCGTCTCGACGGTCGGCAGCTTCTTCACGATGGCCTTGCGCTTGGCCATGCGCATCACGCCCAGCGCCAGAGTGACGGTGACCACGATCGGCAGACCCTCAGGGATGGCGGCAACGGCCAGACTGCGGACAGAGGCGTGACCTCAGGTCAGGAGAGCGAGGGGGAGACCACGGCCAGACTGCGGACAGAGGTGTGACCTCAGGTCAGGAGAGCGAGGGGGAGGCCACGGCCAGACTGCCGACAGAGGAGCGAGGGGGTCACGGCCAGACTGCGGACAAAGGTGTAACCTCAGGTCAGGGGAGCGAGGGGACTGGTCGCTCCGGCAACGCTATCAACAGTCAGCCTCATAAGGCCGTCTGCGGTGACAAAGGTGGCCAGTACCACCGCCTGCCACTAAAGTTACCTACACTTGGGAGCCCCACACACCCACCCACGAATGGACCATATACACAACTTGAAGGACAAAGTCCACCTGTGGCATGTCTCTCACGCCACCGATGACGACGGACTGCCGAGTCGGCTCACTACCACAGCGTTCGCTACACTCCCAGTACCTGCTTTTCCTGTAGTTGGCTTAACCAAGACAGGTCACAGAAACGGGAAACAGCGGAGGACAATTGCTGCCACGGCGACACCGCCGGCAATGTCGCCCACCTGACGCCAATGTTGAACATCTCCATGATGGGCTTTCCCTGCAGCCAGCCGACCAGCATGATGACACCGATGATGCCGAAGGAGTAGGCGGACAGCTGCTTGCCGAGCTCGTCCATACTGCGCTGCAGCGGCGTCTTGGGCGACTCCTCCGTCTCCATCATCTTGAACACCTCGCCGAACTCGGACCGGATGCCCGTCGATACGACCACGCCCTGCCAACGGCCGAGGTCACGTGACGAGGTCAAAAGTCGGAGGGCATGCGCCACTGGGGAGGCTGTGGCCACCATCACCAGCAGCCACGTGCACGGCCCAGTTCGGATGGCCACAGTCAGGTGCTTTGTGGAGCAACTGTACTCGAGTTGAACTGCCGGCGAGCCCGGTGACTCATTACCGACCGTGATGTGAGTTCCCCACCACGGTGTTGTAAATGATAAAACACCGCGTCTTTTTACAAACATTTTGAAATGTTGGCTGACATTAGCTGCAGATTCTTATAACCACACCGGACTGAACCAAACAGACACTTGTTGCCAAACAGTTACATCACCGCACCCCAACAATCCAGGTCGCTGAGTCTGGCCACAAAGCCATGCACTGACCAAAATCCCCATGCATCAATAACGGCTATCTTTGGTCCCCGTTTGCCCGGCAGACAAGCAGACAGCCCACCCCCCCTCCGTTACTCCCTCTCTCGCAGCGTTGTCTCACCTTGCCGTTGCCGTATCGCACCAGGGTGCCCATGTACACCCTCCGTTACTCCCTCTCTCGCAGCATTGTCTCACCTTGCCGTTGCCGTATCGCACCAGGGTGCCCATGTACACCCTCCGTTACTCCCTCTCTCCCAGCATTGTATCACCTTGCCGTTGCCGTATCGCACCAGGGTGCCCATGTACACCCTCCGTTACTCCCTCTCTCCCAGCACTGTATCACCTTGCCGTTGCCGTATCGCACCAGGGTGCCCATGTACACCCTTTGTTATTCCCTCTCTCCCAGCGTTGTCTCACCTTGCCGTTGCCGTATCGCACCAGGGTGCCCATGTACACCCTTTGTTACTCCCTCTCTCCCAGCATTGTATCACCTTGCCGTTGCCGTATCGCACCAGGGTGCCCATGTACACCCTTTGTTACTCCCTCTCTCCCAGCATTGTCTCACCTTGCCGTTGCCGTATCGCACCAGGGTGCCCATGTACACCCTTTGTTACTCCCTCTCTCCCAGCGTTGTATCACCTTGCCGTTGCCGTATCGCACCAGGGTGCCCATGTACACCCTCTGTTACTCCCTCTCTCGCAGCGTTGTCTCACCTTGCCGTTGCCGTATCGCACCAGGGTGCCCATGTACACCCTCCGTTACTCCCTCTTTCCCAGCATTGTCTCACCTTGCCGTTGCCGTATCGCACCAGGGTGCCCATGTACACCCTCCGTTACTCCCTCTCTCGCAGCGTTGTCTCACCTTGCCGTTGCCGTATCGCACCAGGGTGCCCATGTACACCCTCCGTTACTCCCTCTCTCCCAGCATTGTATCACCTTGCCGTTGCCGTATCGCACCAGGGTGCCCATGTACACCCTTTGTTACTCCCTCTCTCCCAGCGTTGTATCACCTTGCCGTTGCCGTATCGCACCAGGGTGCCCATGTACACCCTCTGTTACTCCCTCTCTCGCAGCGTTGTATCACCTTGCCGTTGCCGTATCGCACCAGGGCGCCCATGTACACCCTCTGTTACTCCCTCTCTCGCAGCGTTGTCTCACCTTGCCGTTGCCGTATCGCACCAGGGTGCCCATGTACACCCTCCGTTACTCCCTCTCTCCCAGCATTGTATCACCTTGCCGTTGCCGTATCGCACCAGGGTGCCCATGTACACCCTTTGTTACTCCCTCTCTCCCAGCATTGTATCACCTTGCCGTTGCCGTATCGCACCAGGGTGCCCATGTACACCCTCCGTTACTCCCTCTCTCCCAGCATTGTATCACCTTGCCGTTGCCGTATCGCACCAGGGTGCCCATGTACACCCTTTGTTACTCCCTCTCTCCCAGCATTGTATCACCTTGCCGTTGCCGTATCGCACCAGGGTGCCCATGTACACCCTCTGTTACTCCCTCTCTCGCAGCGTTGTCTCACCTTGCCGTTGCCGTATCGCACCAGGGTGCCCATGTACAGACAGTTGGCCTTCGATGTGATGTTGCCCTCGGAGAGCACGTTGGCATCCTTGCGCGCCGGCTTGGCCTCGCCGGTGAAGCTACTCTCGTCCACCTCCAGGTCAACGCCCTGCCGAGCCGAACGGGACGGTCAGAGTGCATGCATCACCGGCCGACAGCTTGGCTGATAATTACACGTGCATGGTACATCCACATGCTTAGAGGCCGGCCGTCCGGTGCGGAGGGCACAAAATCAGCCGCATGTCACAGCACACCAGACGCACGGAGGCCGTGACCTCATTAGCTCGCCTCACACGGGACGGCATCCATTTCCAGCATAACAGCCGACGCATACAAGCTGTACGATGGACGTGCTGTGATCAACAGCATGACTGATCGAAGTCCGAGGGCGAAGTTCAGGGCGCAATTCACTCACAAAGCCAGAGCCCGGACCAAAGGTCAGCACACCATTCCGACGGAGTACGACCCGATATGACCAAGCACAACACTTTTTCAAGCATCATTTGGTACAAAAGCCCGAGTCCATTCGACGTTACGGCCGGTTCCAATCTTCACGCGTCAGCCCCGCACAGATACACACCAGCTGACGACGAGCCCACTTCCGTTCATCCGGCCGACGCGTCGCCACTCTCGATCGACCGCGCCGGGACCGCTTCTCGACCCGGGCCCCCAAGCCGGCGGTGGTCTCCGCTCTGCCTCCAGGGCCACTCACCTGGCACAGCCGAACCCGAGCCGGCGGTGGTCTCCGCTCTGCCCCCAGGGTCACTCACCTGGCACAGCCGAACCCGAGCCGGCGGTGGTCTCCGCTCTGCCCCCAGGGTCACTCACCTGGCACAGCCGAACCCGAGCCGGCGGTGGTCTCCGCTCTGCCCCCAGGGTCACTCACCTGGCACAGCCGAATGTCAGCCGGCACCCGGTCGCCGACGCTGAAGTGCACTATATCGCCCGGCACCAGCTCCTCGGCCAGGAAGCTGGTCACCTGGCCCGACCGCAGGCTGCCGGCGGCGGCGGCGGTGTTAGCGGGGCAGCGGGGCAGAGGGCGGCACGGGCCCACCTCCAGCCAGCGCGGGAGCACCGCACACAAAACGGCACGGGACGGCACCGAGTGGGGCGGCGCGGGAGCTCGGACCTCGGGAGATCGCTGGAGCTCGGCAGACTAAGTGCGAGACAGCACCGGATGGGGCGGTGCGGGAGCCTCCCCGCACCCCAGAGCGGAGTCGGCGGCACGCGCGCACGCCAGCCACGCAGGGCGCCGGCACGCGTCCGAGCCTTACCTCCTGGCACTGGGACAATGTCGTTCAGGCCGAGTGGAATAGGCGGCATCCGCTACATTGTGATCATAACGTTCATCAATGGGGGCAACTCAGTGTACAGCTCGCATCTCCACCTGGAGCGGGCCCTGGCCAGAGTGCTGCTCACTTTAAACACGCGGGGGAGAGGCCACTTGGGGGCAAACGAGTCTCCAGATGACAGATGACCACATTGTTCAGGTGTACTATGGATGACTGCGTTGTGAGGCGGCCGAGAAGGCGCAACCATTCACCATATGTATGGCTGAAGGAGATGATGTGCCCTGTACTCACCAATGGCAAACAGGAGGAACTAACTTCTTTAGCTCCTCTAAAGATTTCTCTGATCTGTATTCTTGAATGAAGGCCACAGTTACGACAATTGTTATGGCCTGAAAAGAGGCAGCATTTATAAACATTCGGTCGGCCCGCAAGAACGATCTCCACTAAGGTCTCGTCCGACAGGTTTTTTTATATCCGTAGTACTTACGTGGACATGTTACGTGCTTCGTGACCTAACGAATTATTTCCTTGAAGGAAACACGCAAACAAGAAAAACGGACCAGTACCCCCGAGTTTTGAACCAATCAATCACATGGATGACAACGAATGGAGAACTGTCACCAACAATAATAATTACGATGACACTTAATGTGACAAAATACGCCACGAATACAGTCCAAGAAAACGCCTGCCGCACGAGTTCTAGCTCTGCATTCGGAGCTGTCGCAGCTTCCGTCTGCAACACTGCACATGTTGCGTCGCCTCGACGCCGTGTTTTCGACTCGCCGCACCGCTTATCGAAAGGCCGGCGGCCGGTAATCACTCCTCCCCATCACTTCCCCAGGTGCGCCCCGCCCGCGGCCGTGCGACCAGGTGTGGGCGACCACGACACTTGGCCGAACCCTCCCCACAGTCCACCCGCACCCCTCGGTCGGCCGGTAGCGGCGCGCCGGCCGGGCGCACGCACGGGGCCGGCGCGACGCCACTCGAGCGGCCGGTCTGGCAGCCGGCCGGGCGACGATACTCTACCGGCGCCAGCCACGAAAGGCGCGCCCGGCCGAAGTCCGCCGCCCTGACCCCTGACCTCGGCCAGCGACGGGATTGGCCGCCGCAGATGGGCGCAGACCGCCGCGGCGATAGCTGGATCCGTACTGAGCCCGACGGCTGCTACACGTCGTTGCCAGTTACAGACCCAGACAACCATCACACCGTTGCTAGCATAGTGATTTTTTAAGTCGATGACTGGGCGCGCTCCTTCTCTGTCGCCGCCTAACTGTTGCAGCGCCAGACTCGGCGCGCCCCGAAAACAAGCCCAGCACCTCTACTCCCGGGGGGTGCGGCGCAGCGGCGCGCGAGTACGCCGCCGGTCCAACCACCGCTGCCCGGGTGTCAGCGCGAGCCGGCGGCGGAGCCCTCACCGCGGCGATGCTGAACGCGTCGTCGAACTGCTTCATCAGCACACTGACGAAGGCGGAGGCCAGCAGCAGCAGGATCAGCGGGTTTTGGAACTGTCGGCAGCCGGCACACAGTCAGGTGACAATTCGGCAGGGCTGGCATCGAGCTCATGCAGCAGGGACGCGACGGGTGCGCGGGATCGGATCATTCATGTGCGACTACGGCATCTAGACGAGGCGGTCAGGTATCTCGTCACACCGACGGTCGTACCTCGTCACACCGACGGTCGGACGGTCAGGTAACTCGTCACACCGACGGCCGTACCTCGTCACACCGACCGTCGTACCTCGTCACACCGACCGTCGGGCGGTCAGGTAACTCGCCACACCGACGGTCAGGCGGCCAGGTACCTCGTCACACCGACCGTCGGGCGGTCAGGTACCTCGTCACAAGGACGGTCGTACCTCGTCACACCGACCGTCGGGCGATCAGGTAACTCGCCACACCGACGGTCGGGCGGCCAGGTACCTCGTCACACCGACGGTCGTACCTCGTCACACCGACCGTCGGGCGGTCAGGTACCTCGTCACACCGACAGTCGGACGGTCAGGTAACTCGTCACACCGACGGCCGTACCTCGTCACACCGACCGTCGGGCGGTCAGGTAACTCGTCACACCGACGGTCGGGCGGCCGGGTACCTCGTCACACCGACCGTCGGGCGGTCAGGTAACTCGTCACACCGACGGTCGGGCGGTCAGGTACCTCGTCACACCGACGGTCGGGCGACCAGGTACCTGGTCACACCGACGGTCGGGGGGTCAGACAAACAGCAGTGCTGTCCGATGGCCGCCAGCGTACGGGCTCGCCGGGCACAGAGCGCACGGACGCACGGTGTCCGCAGCACACACAGCGATTGCCCGCGAACCTGACGGCCACACGGCGACGGCGGTCAAGGCCGCGCGAGCCGGCCACACTGGGCAGCACACCACGCATGGGACGAGCTGGCCGGGCCCGAACGAAAAGAGGCCTGCACACTGCGCAAACAAGCGATGTCGCATCCAGCACGAGCACGTCAACAATCAGTGTTCATCAGAGGAAACTGTGGCGAATTAGTCACACGAGAGCAGCCGTGCTCCTAATGTCAATGCCTAACCGTGCACTTTTGGGTGCATGTGTCGTCGCTGTTGGTAGCATCCTAACAGAGCATACGCCTCAGTTCGAGTAGCTTCCAAACGGCCCCACAGAGGCATGTATCGAACGCTGCCACATTAGTAGACCCAATAGTCGTCTACACAACGCATGTTTGTGAGAAAACCCGCAATCCGAGCTGCCACCGCCACCTGGCTCCTATCGATATCGCCCACTTCACTAATGTTTGGTATCAAAGTGGACCGTATGACCGATGTACAGATTGGATCAACGGTTATCTGTTCAGTCACCTCTTGACCTGCCAGAGCCAGAGCACCTGCGATACCGATACGATGAGCTTCGATGATATCGTACAAGCCAGCATTCAACGGGCGCCGCAAAAAGCACAAAAAGGAAAGAGACAGCTGATATAGAGCCGATCCAGATCAAACCGTTTTATACTTATACGGCTGCACCACGTGTCTGGTAAAAATCAAACGGGTCTGGGAAAAAAACGTGTGTGTAACAGATTAAGACCCTCGGGTGAGTTGTGCACGACTACAAGTTACTAAGCCCGCAAGTGAAACAGACTGGCAAAAACATCATCGCTGGTATAAAAACTTTCAAACAAGCAATTTCAAATAAGCAAAGTGGAAATGTTACGACCGCTTACAGTTTTTCACTTGATTCATAAGAACGGTACATCTTTCACAGGCAAAATACCGGCGCTGGCCCCTAAAACAATAACAGAACGCATTCTGGTCACCGGACCCATGTGGCCTTCGAACACACGCACACACCCTTGTCCTAGATCCTAGCTGATTTGGCGGGGGGCCTACGTATCGCCACGCGCCTCTACACATGCTCTAAACAAACAGGAGCAAGGCCCACTCAGCTGAAACCGCCCAAAACAGATCGGCGCCGGCGATCCATTTGGCACGGCGACGCGCGTGACGGCGAACACGGGTCTCTCAAGCGCCGTCATCCACGCCACCCCCAGCGCCTCCTCACCAACCTCAGCGCCTCCCTCCACCCACCTGCTCGAGGTACTTCTTCCACAGCGGCTCCTCGTCCTTGACTTGGAAGCTGTTGGTGCCGTACACCTTCTGCCGGACGGCGGCTTCTGCCCAGCTGAGGCCGTGCTGCGGGTCGACACGGAGCCGCTCCGCCACGGCGCCGTGCTCCAGCGCCGCCGCCTCGGCCGTGCGCAGCCACATGATGTCGGCGTCCAGCTGCTGCAGCCACATGGCTGGCGTTAGACACGGCCGGGCTCGCACGCACACGCACACACACACTCCGCCGCCGCCGGCGCCGACACAATGAGCCGGCGGCGGCGGCGGCGGCGCGCCGGGCTGTCCGAACCTCTGGACCGCCGGCCGGCAGGCCAAAGATCAGGCGCCGATGCAAGATAGCGTCGCGGCCGGGCGCCGACGGCGCCGGCCCGGTCCACAGGGCGGGGCGCTGGGTTACTCCGGTGCGTCACATCAAAAGGGACGCTGGGGTCACGGCAGTCACGGGTCACAACGGTACGTCACGTCACGTCAAGCGGGGGACGCTGGGGCCACGTCAGTCACGGGCCACAACGGTACGTGACGTCAAGCAGGGGACGCTGGGATCACGTCAGTCACGGGTCACAACAGCACGTCACGCCAAGCAGGGGACGCTGGGATCACGTCAGTCACGGGTCACAACAGCACGTCACGTCAAGCAGGGGACGCTGGGGCCACGTCAGTCACGGGTCGCAACAGCACGTCACGTCAAGCAGGGGACACTGGGATCACGTCAGTCACGGGTCACAACAGCACGTCACGTCAAGCAGGGGACGCTGGGGTCACGTCAGTCACGGGTCACAACAGCACGTCACGTCAAGCAGGGGACGCTGGGGCCACGTCAGTCACGGGTCACAGCGGTACGTCACGTCACGCAACGTGGGAGCCAACTGCACTTAACCGTACTCGGCGGCGAGCGCTGCATAAACCACAGAATCCAATCACAAAGCCTGCTACCGGACGCAGCACACGAAGCGTGGAAATCACAGACTACCGCGCACAAACCGCAGCGGATGATGGCTGATGCGGCGGACTGGCTCGTCCCGCCTGCGATGGACACAGGGACGGAGAGCCTTGAGCGAGCGCACGTGCGCACCCGCCAAGCAGCAGTCCCGCCACGACTGGCACCCGGACAGTCGTGACAGCTCGCACGGCGAACATGGCACGTGACCTAAACGGCAGGCCAGTGCCGCAGCCGGTCGCCGCCGCTGCTCGCCAACCATAACCGTTCAGGCGGCATCGGTGCAGTGCGGTATCACTGAATCTAGAAAGAACGCGACGCCGTTGTTGATTGGCCGGCAGCAGTACTAACGGCACAGTCCCGGTAAGTTCGCTGCAGTTGATCGATCCACATTTTACGAGTTCGCTTTGGTGCAGTGCACGACAGGGCGACAGCCGGGTTTGTCTGTCGCCGCCCAGTCGGGGTCGACTGGCGCACCGCCGGGGTAAACAGCAGTGCCACGGGCACCCCTGCGCCTCCGGCGGCCGGCACGGTGACCCCAGGGTCAGGCGGAGCCCGGCCACCGAGGCGGCTGCCGTGCCCGGTCACCATCCCCCCAAAAATAGAACCTGGTGACATGGACAGGCATTCCTTCTCAGCAAATGCTGCAGCTCGACGGCCACCGGCGGCCGCCGCCAGCAGTCAAACCAAGGCCGTTGCCGCCTGCCGGCCAGCTCGGAGCGCCACACCGCCGGCGGCGACAGCCGGCCGCGGACTGGGGTCGTGCGGCCGGCGGCCGACGCCAGCGATCAGGCCGAGGCCGCTGCCGCCTGCCGGCCAGCTCGGAGCGCCGCACCGCCGGCGGCGTCAGCCGGCCGCGAGCTGGGGTCGTGCGGCCGGCGGCGCCCTCGTGCCCCGCCGGGTACAGCTATCGGGGCCAGGTCCGGTGCGGCCGCCCCGGCTGCCGGTCATTGTTCGACATTGATACAGAATGGCGTCCAAGGCCGGCGCACCCGGCGACAGTCCACGAACGCCGCGCCGCCGCGTGCAGACGCCGCTGTCTCAGGTGCGGCCGGCGCACGTGACGGCCCGCCGCCGAGCGGGGTCCAGCGCCGAGCACATGGTCCGGCTCTGTCTGCCGCCGGCGGAAGCGTGCCACGCTGGACGGCGTCTTATCATAATGGAGGTCAGACTGGGAAGGACCTTATCGAAGCAAGGATTAACGCGTCTTTGTCATGCAGGTCATTATAAAATGGTATGGGTCGAAGAAATGTTTCGCAAAATACTGCGTGTCAAAATTGTTGGCATAGCTTCGATTAGTTAACAGTTGATGTCATCAACGTCGTTCATCATTCTGGCCCCGTTTATCAGTGCGGTGCAACTGATCCGTTTGCACAGGAAAAGTAGACCAAGCCAGACATACAAGGACACCGTCGTCGGCAAGACATGACTCTTTGTCAGGAAAGTACGCGAATGCAGCCTTGAACCTCCTCTACATTCCGGGACATCACAAACAGGTCCCAATAAAACCAACATCGCCAATGAGGCACTGATCTATTAAGACCGCCAAACATCTGCTGCGGTCAGTGGAGACGGGTCCAGAGTTTGCATCACCCCAGTGCACGCGTACGGGCACGGAGCGAAGTGCGCATATTTGCTAGCTTAAGACCCCAACGACGCCAAGCCCGCCAGACGCGTTCCATCGACGCAAAACGTACGCAAAGCGAACACTAAAGGAGAATATCAGATAACATGTGGGCCGGCCGCAGCAGCGACCGTGCTGGGAGGCAAGAGGACAGGAGATCACAGCCGTGTGTGACCCACTTGTGAACCGCGGAAGACGCCAACAGACCTGGAGTGCGTTTTCATCGACAACACCTGAAATAACCACAGAGCTCGGCAGGACTACGTCATGTCCGCAGGTTAAGGGTCGTCGGACCTTGCCCAGGCCCTTTTCGGTACGGCTATCTGGTACCATACAAGTGCTGGGCCTCGGTTTAACAAATCATCTTACGCCCCACGGCTCACGTGCGTTGCTTCATTCTGCCTCGTCTGACACCAGTCAAGGAGGTGTCAGGTGTCCCTATCATTGTCCAACCGCCTCTGGACTGGTTTGCACATATTGTTCGTTTAGCGTGCATCTGGTTAAAAAGAGCTTGTGGGTGAAGCAACATTCGATTGACCAACACTCAATCCAAACAAAGGTCGTGATCGGCCAAGCTCTGAGCACGAATCCAGGCACAAGGCGCACACGCCCCCTCCCCCCGCCAGCTGCGTGGACCTCTCCGTAAGTCTAGAAAGAGAAAGGCTCGGCCACTTCTGGACGGACATTAACAAACGATGTCACGCCGCGTTACGTGCATTTTGGCTGTGGTGCTGTGCACACAACAACGAAAGCAAACAGATTGTCACACACCCATGGCGTACACGGGGCTGGCACGCATCGCTCACGGTGCACCCTGAGCTGAGCTGTTTGGCTGTGGATCCCCTGCTGGCCCAGGCTGAGCTGTTTGCCTGTGGGTTCCCTGCTGTTTGGCTGTGGGTCTTCTGCTGACCCTGTCTGAGCTGCATGGCTGTGGGTCCCCCACTGGCCTGGCTGAGCTGTTTGGCTGTGGGTCCCCTGCTGGCCTGGCTGAGCTGTTTGGCTGTGGGTCCCCTGCTGGCCCGGCTGAGCTGTTTGGCTGTGGGTCCCCTGCTGGCCCGGCTGAGATGTTTGGCTGTGGGTCCCCTGCCGGCCCGGGCTGAGTTGTTTGGCTGTGGGTCCCCTGCTGGCCCGGGCTGAGCTGTTTGGCTGTGGGTCCCCTGCTGGCCCGGGCTGAGCTGTTTGGCCGTGGATCCCTTGCTGACCCAACGCTCGGTCCCAGAGACGCCACTCCCGGACGCGGGCTGCTGCTGGGACTTGGCTCCCCAGGTCCGTGCCCATCCGTGCAAAAATCCTCAGCGGCGGCTGACAAGCGCCCGAGGTGCACAGGGATCAACGGAGAGGAGCAGGATCTGACAAGCGAGGGCTCGCGTCCGCCGGCACTCGGCGCGTCTACCGGACTGTTGGCCCTACTGACGGAGCGCACGTGACCCGCCGCGAGGCGAGGCGCGCTCTGGAGGAGCCTGGAAGCCTCTCGCCCGGTCAAAACGACATCGTACCCGTTTGTGGAGGCGGGTCGTCAGAGACACTTCCGAATCTCGCCGTCTGCACAAAACGGGTGTTCCAGTCACAATCCAATGACTGTTGAAGCAAATGGTAATATGTGGGAAAGTACATCGTTTTGCAGCACAGCCCTTTCTAGTTTCGAATGAAGTTGCCATGCACAGACAAGCAAATGGCGGGTGGAGGACAAGCCACAATGAATGAAAGTGATCACGATGACAAACAGAGAACAAGAACAAGCATGTATCAGCATCTTACCTTCTTTGAGTGTGATAAATTTACTTTTTTGTGCAACAAAGGGATGTTATGTTCGTCACCACGGCCCATATCCCTGTCTGTTGGAGAGCGCAACCTGAAACCATAGCATCGTACATGTGCCATGTATAAGTAACTGTGCCAATTACACCAAAACTAAAATGTCGTTATAATACCCGAACAATATGCCAGGGATGCGAAAAGAAAGGGATGCAATACAAAAAATGCAAGAAAAGCAAGGTGGAAAACATCTAATGTTCATAGTTTTTCAATGCAAGGTGGGGCATGGCAAAATCGCATTTGACTGCCACCAAGCTGGGCCAGGAAATAGTTTCAGCTGCTTTCATGCATAGGTGATACAACAGTAATACCCTTATTCGTCGTGGAAAAAACCGAGGGAATGGACGGACAGATGGGTTGATATTTCGGCAACATGCCTCTATCGAAACGTTTCGATGCCTTAAATTACAGCTAACTATTTACCAATACATTGTGGCTAATTACATCATTAATTACAGCTAAATTTCATCTTAATTACAGATGACATTCGTTTCGAAATAGGCATGTTGCCGAAATATCAATCCATCTATCTGCCTATTCTCCCAATTTTTCTTTTTTTTCTACGAAGAAAAAGCTATTACTACTATCACATCCATCACAGTTTCACCGATCTATCTGTCCATTCTCCCGTTTTTTTTTCTACAAGTAATAAAGCTATTACTACTGTCACATCTAAATGAATAGTGTTCCACGCAAATGCACCTAGCAACTCAGTTTTTTCACGATAATCATGGAATAATGATTTGGACTAACGTTTTCCTTCTGGAGTGTAAGTTGCCGACACATCAGGCAAGGACGATGGTTTGAACATAAACTCCATCTGTAAAACAAACAACTTGTTTCAATCATTCTCTAGACTGATTCTGGTAAATGCACACAAAACAGCACAAAATGCGCATACTTACAAGGCATGGGTATTTGAATTTGGGAAGACTCCTGCACAGTACAGCCAGTGCGGTCCACGCAGTCCTGAGCATGAACGTTTTCGGCATTTCTGAACACTCTGTTTGGGTGGCCAAAAGAGGAGATGCGTTGCTTGCTGCAGAAGAGCAATGCACCACATATCGATTTTTGTCATATCCTTGTCAATGTGTGGTAAGACATGGTGAAAGCTTATATGGGTGAATGCATGCACAACAACACAAAATATATTTATACAGAATAAACTGAGGCATGTGAAAAGGTAGCTGAACATTACTGCGGGCTGGTGGGGTAGGAGTCAGGGAGACGATTGAAATGGGGGAAATTCGAGGGCCTGCATTGCCAATTACAGACATCTTCATAAAAATGTAGAAATGTCTAGTGTTTTATGGGTATCCAGCACTTCAACTTGAAGAAATCACTAAGGTCATGACAAGATTCACCCACGTTTATTTCGGACTGGAGTTACACATGCTGGTTGGTTAATGACGATGACCTATTTGCATCCTTAATGATGTTCTGAACTCTAAATGTCATGCACATATTATTACCTCACATATATCGCACATATCAGTTCCTTTTAGTCAAAATAGAATAACCATGTTTGAAATATGGCAGGATTATGCTTACTGTACAATCATGCAAATGCCTCGTTCAATCCGTATGTTTTACGGACGCGAATGCCTGTCATCTTATTAGAGGAGATCCTCTGTCGGAGGTCGCTCGTAAGCCAAACCGCACGACCAGGAGCTCTCATAGCCATGTCAGGCAGAGGAAGTGGCTGTTTGCCACTGTAGCGGGGGAATGGTGGTGGACGGATTGTAACTTGACTGTCAAGGGAAACATAACCCATTGTTCTGAAACTATGGTCCTTGTTCAGACCACCATGGCAAATTAGAATGGCTTGGACTGTCTGAGGACGTTACAGGAGCCAGAGTAGCCAACATAGGGTAAGTCCCTCCTTAGAGGACCTTTATCTCTGCCATGCCTTTACGTTGTCTTGTGATTTGCTGGCCGTTGCCAGGCTTTTTACGAACTCAGGATGGTCCTCATTTCATTTGCGGGTATTCACACAATCTCTGAGACTGACTGTCGCTGTCGC